GACATATACAGAATATCACCACTTTTCAGTTCTCCTGAAATTTCCTCCTCCTACAAAGAAGGAAAGGAAAAGGCTCTGAATGTTTCCCTTCAAGATACAAACAGCCTAAGCGCACAGAAAAATTCCTCTCTTCGTTTTGACAGATGGGTGGGGAGGATGGAGGAGAGAGATCAGGGAACAAGCACACTCAGCAGAGAGAACGACCCCAATTGTGATGCCACTCAGACACCAAGAGAACCTTGAGACAGGTCAATGGCATCTTTACACCAAGAGCTAACTGAAAACAACTTAATGGGTGTTTCTCCCACAAATGGGGATCCAAGATTCTGGCTTATTGTTAGTAAACTTTCTCCTAACAAAAGATACTCACACGGGAACTTTGGAATTAGAAACAAAGACAAGAATATGCTTGGCATCTTTGTTTTCTGAGCATCCAAAACAAGGAGACAACACTGTAAACCAGATGTTATTGCAAAGTTTTATATATACATGCACATGAATTGTAAAAGCATTCTAAGAGAAAGGTTTGCCAAAAACATGATTGTCTAAATAAATATAATGAGATCTTGGGGGGAAAAAAATATACCAAGTGCAGTAACTGTATCTTTTTTTTTTTTTTTAATGCACTGAATTACTACTTTCCTAACTGCAGTCTACTTGTTATTCAAGTAATTCTTTTGATAGTATCTTCACAGTGTCTTTCTAGACTGTGGAACATCAGAATCGCAAGTCTCAACCAGTGCTACTGGTAGCAGATTTACTCTGTATTAAGTCAATTTTACTTTTCTTATCATGACAATGCTGAAAAAAAACCCAACTTCTTTGCAGTATGGTCCACCTTTTGCAGCTTTTCTTTTCTTTCAGTGTTAATGAACTCAGATCCTTTGTTAATGATATTCCAGCACCCACTTTACCAGACTTACTTATTTGAAACTTTATCACAGATAGTCCTACGCTTCGGATACTTTTTTTGTTTCACTTCTTTATTTCTGTCAGCAAAATAAGATTTCTCATCATAATTATGATCTGGTTCACAAAGGGAAGCACAGTAACTAGAATTTGGACACTTAGGCTGCAAATCTGTTTTTTCTGATTTAATTCTGCCAACTGGAATGAGGCAGCACCTACTTCTAGAGTGGACTGCATAGCCAGCAGCAATTAAGGCATGAGCTAGATTGTTCTCCTCGTACAGAACATCCACCTCTAATTTCATTTCAGAGCCATAGTGTTTAAAATTAAGCATCAGACCCGGCTTACTAAGAAGCTTCTGAAACAGTAGTTTGGCTTCATCACTCCAGTATTCCCCCTTGGCAGGAACTGTATCATGTAAAGAGCAAGAGTGTGCCAAGCGTGGTAAATAAGACAGACTTTCTGGAATAACTTTAAGTTTATGGATATCAGAGTAAGGGATGCTCTTCAGAAAGCCATAATCAATAAACCTAAGAACAACAGACTGACTTGTTACTTCACTAACTTCTGCCCTGTTCCACTGTGCTTCCAGTCCAAGCTTGATCAAGCAGCTAGCACCAGGAGCCACAAGTTCTTTTGGCAAAGCTGGCAAGTTGTCAGGAAGGTCAGAGAGCAGCAAAGACAAGTTTTTCATGCAATCAAATAAGACTTCAAACTGGATGCAGAAGTTTGAAGGATCAGTAACTGCAGTTGCAAACCCAGGATACCTTCTGCCACTCTGCAGCAGCGTCCATGTGATTGAATTTATCTTGAATGATGTATCAAACTCCTTACAGTCTGTATTACAGGACTTTTCTGGTCCAACAATAGTCCGACGACGACTTAAGAGCTGGTTCAAATACTCTTGAAGCAGAATTTCGCCTATTAAAATATCTACTTCCCAGATATGAGAGGGTTCCAAGTATCTCAAAAACAAGATCCTTATTTCACGATCCAGGAGTGCATTTACTACATGGACAAACTGAATTTTCTTCAGTTTTTTGAACCAAACCCATTTACAAAATACAGCTTGTTTAGGAATACTTTTAATCTCATCACTGAGCATCTTTGCATTATTTAAGGACACCATCTCATACTTGCCATAATCCATGAAAAAAACTAGCATTAACTTTTCCCTGACAAATTTCTTTATCACTTTTGTTCGATACCACTTCAAGTTCCTTCCAGATTTTGTCATACATTCCAATCCTTCTTCAATGTCATCCACTCTAAACAAATCACTTCTTTGTGCTTCTTTGACAAGCATTACATTTAACTCATGTAATATTCGCAAATTTTTAAGTAACTGTACATGAAATTCTCCACTCTCTGAAATATTGATTACTTCAGCTCCTTCTACCTGTCCAGAATTTAGATCTTGAGGAAGGACATTTAAGGGTGTTTTGGAACTATTTTTCATCCTAACAGCCTTAGTTTTACTTCGACCACCTAAGCCATTCCTACACTTTCTATCTTGAGGATTACCATTTGTAACCAGAATTTGTTTTGGCCTATTTTCCTGATTATGCATTGGTGTGTTTTGCCACCTTGTCCTGCCTTTTTTCTGCAGAAGGTCGTTAGACATAGACTTTCCATCACAAGTTACATCTATTTCCCATCGCTCTCCATGTTGCTGTAAGAACTTGCAAGCGACCGGCTTGTTATTTATTTCGCTTATAAAATAGGAAGTACTTTTATTAGTCCAGCTTTCATCAGGAACACTTCCTACTCTCCTAAGGAAACAATGAACACTAAGCCCCGGCAAAGTTAAGAACTTTTTCTGAATCCTGCAGATTTTTGAAGGGCTTACAACTGCTGTATTATCATAATAAATGAACTCTGCCTCAAAGGAGTTTCCTGATTGCAGAGTTTTAATAACTGCTCTATAGTAAAAACAATCAGTGTCGCGCTCTGCTACAATGAAATCCCCTACCATGAGCTCACCTACGCAATTTTCATGACCTATATTCACCATGCTTTCATTTAATTCTTCTGCTAGTTGTATTATTAAGTTTTCATCCTCTGCAAGCTGAACATAGAAACTTGATGGACTATTCATATGAGAAATATACCCCACTACTTCAGAATTCACCTGAATATCATGTTGAGGAAGACTGATTAATTTAGGTCTATCTTCGTTATTCCTTTGCTGCTGACCTGTATAATTTAGCCTTTCATTATGAGATTCAGAGAGAGCTTTTACAGTTATTTCCTTTGAATTTAAAGCAGGATGACAGAGTGAGAGAGAAGCAGGCTCTCCAACCAGAGGTTCCTCTCTGTGCTCCAAAACACTGACAGTATTTCTAAAACCTGGTTCTTGACTGTCCTGTAAAGTTAGCGGTTTTGAGGACCCACTACACAACTTTTGTGTGCTACATGCAGTTTCCTCTTCATCTCCAAAATTCTGTCCAATATCTGTCTGATAATACTTATCACGTACTTGGCATTTCACTTTAGTTTTCAATTTAACTCTTCCAGGATTTTTAACAGTTACTTTATTAATTTCTTTGTCATCTTCCATGTGACTTATCACTCTTCCATTACTTCCAACAAATTCTTCCGTATAATTTTTCAGTGCCAATTCCTCCAATATTTTTTCTTTAATTTTCTGACTGACTTTGAGCTGTCCATCATACAACTCCACAACAATCTGTCCATCTGATTCTCTGGATACAATTACAGCCTTCAGCAGTTTACCAAGGAATGTTTCCTCAAACCATGTAGTAACACTTGCTGGAATTTTTGTCTCCCTAAGATCTGACAGACAGCATTTAATAGCTTGCATGGGTGTGAATATTAGGTCAGTAGAAGAGTCTGGAATTGGCATCAACTGGTCTCTCTCTACCATATTCTTATTTCCAAAATCCACAAAGTCAGCACATAGATAGGATGTCGATTCCACAGGAAAAGCCAAAGCTCTATAAAAGAGACCATCTTCAAAATATCTGGCTATACATAATCGCGTATTGCCAGTATCATATTTCGTACTATTTGGCATTTTACTTATGACACTAACCTTCTTCATCAATGCCTGTATAGTTTCAGTGTTTCGATTAAGCTGACAATAGAATTTTGAAGGACTATGTATGTGAGTTATATAAACCTCCTCCTCACTTCCAATTTTTATATTAAAAGATGAGTAGCAAAAACTGTACAGAGAACCCAAAGATGCAAGGTTTCTCAGGCCAATATATTCAGACTGGGTGAGACCACGTTCTCTGAGGAATTCCTCTGCGCTAATAAATGGAGTCTGTAAGTCAACTATATTGCATAAACAGTTGGGGCTTACAAGAATAAGAGCATAAATGATGCAAGTCAGCGGTCCTCTAGAAGCAGAAATAAAGTCTTCAAAATGTCTACGCACTTTTTCAGACCAATTAAGTGAGTCATTCTGTAAGGGTACATCTTTAAGTCCACACCGAAATGCCTGACTTTCCAGAGAG